TTTGTGATTTCCTGTGAAAACAGCTTTGTGGCAAGTTTCCTATTACTATGACACAATACCCAAGCATCAGCCTATAAGGGGGATTTATTTTGGGGTCATGATTCCAGAGGCTGCCAGCTGGCTGTTGCTTTGGGGCCTGAAACACAGTGGATCACCACAGAGGGTATTCATGGCAAAGCAGAGCTGCTCACACAGGGGGAGGTGGAGAGCAGGCACACTCAGCCATCTCCTAGTCTCCACTCCCTCTAGATGGCAGCATTGGCTGGGAACCAAGCCTTCGCCACACTGGCTTTGGGGAAAACATTTAAAATCCCAAACTTAGCTGGGCATCAGAGGCTTTATGCCTGTAATCCTAGCTACTTAGGAGGCTGAGATCTGAGGATCTCAAAGCTAGCCCAAGCAGAAAAGTCAGTGAAATTCATCTCCAACATACCACCAGAAAACTGGAAGTGGTGCTGTGGCTCAAGTGGTAGTTAACCTTGAGCTGAAAAGCTGAGGGACAGTGCCCAGGCCCAGCGTTCAAACCCCACGACCAACAAAAATAAAATCCCAAACTTAAATGGCACCAATAATAACCAAATCTATTCCATGCTGAGATCCTACTTGCAAAGAGGACCTTATTAGTTAATTCAGAGATCATGTGTAGAACACTCTTCAAATCTTGGCTCTGCCACTTACTAGCTGTGTACCTGTGGGCTAATTAACCTCTGCTCTGTTCTGTTGCTGCTTCTGTAAACAATGGATCAGTGATAAGTCTTCTGTGAAGACATATTTAGAATGTTAGAACAAGCTGAGCACTGGTGGCTCATGCCTATAATCCTAGCTAACTCAGGAGGCTTGAGGCCTAGAAAATTGAGCTTTGAGTTCAGCATAGGCAGAAAATTCTGGGATATTCCATCTGCAATTAACCAGCAAAATGATGGATTAGAAGCGTGGCTTAAGTGATAGAGTGCCAGCCATGAGTAAAACAAGCCCTGAATTCCAGCTTCAGTACTGGCACAGAACAATGGCTGCCACAAATACTCATTATAACTTAAAACATTAAAAATCTGTTATTGATTTGGTAAGCCTGGCATTCTAAATCTTCAGTCATGTTTTCTAGACCCAACTCTTCTCTCAGAATTCAGCATTCTTTTTTTTTTTGGGGGGGGGGGTCCAGTCGTGGGGCCTGAACTTTGGGCCTGGACGCTGTCCCTCAGCTTTTTTTTTTTTTTTTTTTGGTCGGTCATGGGGCTTGAACTCTGGGCCTGGGTGCTGTCCCTCAGCCTCCTGAATAGCTAGGATTACAGGTGTGAGCCACCGGCGCCCGGCTTTTCTTTTTTTTTTTTTTTGTCGGTTGTGGGGCTTAAACTCTGGGCCTGGGCGCTGTCCCTCAGCTCTTCAGCCCAAGGCGAGCGCTCTACCACTTGAGCTACAGCGCCACTTTCGGTTTTCTGGTGGTTTTTATTGGAGATAGGAGTCTCACGGTCTTTCCTGCCCGGGCTGGCTTTGAACCGCGATCCTCAGATCCCAGCCTCCTGAACAGCTAGGATTAAAGGCGTGAGCCACCAGCACCCGGCTGTCCCTCAGCTCCAGCTCAAGGCTAGCGCTCTACCACTTGAGCCACAGTGCCACTTCCGGCTTTTTTCTTTTTGCTTATGTGGTGCTGAGGAATCGAACCCAGGGCCTCCAGCATGCAAGGCAAGCGCTCTACCACTGAGCCACCTTCCCAGCCCAGAATTCAGCATTCCTGATAGGCTCTGGTAGCTCACATCTGTAATCCTAACTATTCAGGAGATCGAGATTTGAGGATCAGATCAAAGCCACCCTGGACAGGAAAGTCTTTAAGACTGTGATCTCCAATGAGCCACCACTTTGAGCGCTGTGGCTCAAAGTGGTAGAGTGCTAGCCTTGAGTGAAAAAGCTCAGGGACAGTGTCTAGGCCCTGAGTTCAAGCCCTACAACGAAAAACAAAAGCCTTTCTGCACACTGCACAGAACTAGGCATACCTTGTCTATATTTCTCTTTTTCGTTAAACCAGTCCTGGGGCCTGAACTCAGGACGTGGGCACTGTCCCTGGGCTTCTTTTGCTCAAGGCTAGTGCTCTACCACTTGAGCCCAGCACCACTTCCTGCTTTTTCTGTGTATGTGATACTGAAGAATCAAACCTAGGGCTTCATGCATGCTAGGCAAGCACTCTACCACTAAGCCACACTCCAAGCCCCTCCTTTTTTTGACACCCAAAACTTTTTTTGTTGGTCGTGGGGCTTGAACTCTGAGCCTGAGTGCTGTCCCTCAGCTCAAGGCTAGCACTTTACCACTTGAACCATAGCACCACTTCTGTTTTTCTGGTGGTTTATTGGAGATAAGAGTTTCACAGACTTTCCTGGCTGGGCTGGCTTTGAACCACAATCCTCAGATCTCAGCCTCCTGAGTAGCTAGGATTACAGCCGTGAGCCACCGGCGCCCAGCCCAAAACTTTTACTGGGGGTGAGCAAATGGGCCTCTAGGGACAGGCCTGGGCCCTCACTGCACAGCTTGCTCATTGGTGCTGCCTAGAGTTCTGTGGCTTCATCACATCTGGAAGCTCTGGTGGGGCTGGAGAAGGGCTTGATGTACAGCTTCACAGGCGTCATCTGCCCAGAAGGCCAGCCTGCTATGGCTGGGGCCTGTGGCTGCACTGTGGCTGGAAAAGCCACATTCGCCCAGCATTTCCCCATCGTCTAGAAGCTGGTCATCTTTGTAGAGCAGTGGCTCCTTGGCAACTGTGAAGAGGGTGGTCTTGTAGTGCCAGATCATGAGGATCACATCCTGGGGGACCACAAGCCAGCTTCAGTGGCAGGGCACCAGCACCCTCATGCAGAACACTGCCCTGTCTGTCTCCTTAAACATCCCAGTCAACAAAAGTGCTGCCCTAATGTGACAATGGAATGGATGATTCCTATGAGCTTGTGTAAGTACATCCTATGTTTGTACAGCGGTCATGTAATGATCATTGCTAGGGAACATGTCTCATAAGCAAGGTGTGATGGGGCTTCTATAGTTGATCTGCAGGATTTGAGTAACCCCTATTTATTTATTTTTGGTCATGGGGCTTGAACTCTGAGCTTGGGCGCTGTCTTTGAGCTCTCCAGCCCAAGGCCAATACTCTACCACTTGAGCCACAGTGCCACTTCGTTTTCTGGTGGTTGAGACTCTCACGGACTTTGCTGCTCAGGCTGGCTTTGAACCACGATCTTCAGATCTCAGCTCCTCAGTAGCTAGGATTATAGGCGTGAGCCACCGGCACCTGGCCAGTGGCAGTATCTTGTCAACTTTTTGTTCCTGTAACAATCCTTTAAAGTGTGCCAGCACGTTTATTTTTTGTGCCTGTCCTGAGCCTTTAACTCAGCCTGGCAGAGTCCCTGAGATTTTTCTCAAAGCTAGTGCTCTACCACTTGAGCCATTGTACCACTTGCAGCTTTTTCTGAGTAGTTTATTGGAGATGAATCTCAGGAATTTCTTGCTTGGGCTGGCTTTGAACTGCAATCCTCAGGTCTGACTGAGTAGGTAGGACTACAGGATTACAGGTATGAGCCACCAGCACCTGGCAAGTGTTAGCACTTCAAATGGTTTCTGAAAAACAAGTTGTCCTTCCTAGAGTTCTCAGTATGGAGGTCCAATAACCCTGAAATATACATATGTAAAAAAACTAAGGAGCAAAAAAACATTGTTGACTCATGCCTGTAATCCTAGCTACTCAGGAGGCTGAGATATAAGGATCACAGTACAAAGCCAGCCTGGACAGAAGTCTGTGAGACTGTTATCTTCAATTAGCCACCAGAAAAGTGGTAGAGCACTCGCCTTGAGCTGAAGAGCTCAGGGATAGTGCTCAAGCCGAGTTCAAGCCCCACCCACAATCAGGGGGGAAAAAGATTGTTGAAGGGCTATTTCATCCTGCTAGGCCAGGAGTGGGGAATAAGTGGCCCAAGTTCCAGGCGAGGCTCATAGATCATTTGGTGTTTGGAACAAACAATGCATTATCATCTGCTGCCCTCCGCCAAAATGCCTGTACGGATCATTTTGCCTGGCAAATGTTCTAACTACCCAAAGAGCCCTTGGCAGAATAAGAGGATCCCCATACCTCAATCTTCTGGTGGCAATACAGACCACCATGTTGTTTGCTGCCTTCCACATTACTTAAGATGATCTGTAACTACTGTTCTGGGAAGCTGCTGTTTTGTAGGTACCAGGTAGATGCTCTACCATGTGAGCCACTCTAGCTCTTTCCTACTGGTTATTTTTGAGGTAGGGTCTCCCTTTATGCAAGGGCCAGTCTAGACTGCAATCCTATTTATGTTTCCATGTGTTACTAGGAATGACAGATAATCATGGTTTGGCCATGATCTCGATTGCCCCTAAAGCATGAGCATTTCAGGTTAAGACATTTTGCTCAGCTGAGACTTCACAAAGCCCAGAGAAGAGTCCACTCATCACACCCTGCCTGAGTGGGATGCCCTTCCCCAGCAGCAGCAGTTGGCGGCCACTCATCTATCTTGTGAGATGAGTTAGAATGTGCCATTTAAAACCAACGGGGTAGAGAAAAGGAAAGCATGGTGAGACACTGTTAAGTAGCAGCAGGTACATTCTCCTTTGCTTTGGGGTTTTTTGACATCGGGCAGCATTTCCATACTGGGAAGTAAAGGATTTGAGCTTCATGTGACTGAGGCAGACAGAGCTTCTAGCACCAGAGGCTCCCGGGAACAAGGGAGCTCACTACGGGACACACTTGGCAGAAGCTGCCACCCCACCAGCCACCATGCAGCACCTGCTAGTTAGTTCTCAAGGTAGAGAGATGGGGAGGGAGAGAAAGGGAGGTAGGGAATCCAGGAAGCACAACCTGCCTAGGCAACACAGAAATCATCAGATGTTCTCAAAGCTAAGAAAACCTTCCCATTTAACCCTAGGAGAGTCTCAAGGTGTAGTCAGCTTCCCTCTGACTCAATCATCCTCCTCCATGAAGATTATACAAGAAATCTTGTATTTAAAAAAAATTATTTTAATCCTTTCTAGAGGAATACAGATTTGAATGAAATACATTCGTTCCATAAATACATTAGCAGCAAAACCTTCTCCCCAGAGTCCTCTGGTCCAGAAGTTGTGCCTTCAGTTAGGAGGGATGTCCTATCTGCTGTCACTGGAGCATGCGTGCTTCTTCACGAAAGCTGCATCTGCCTGCTCACAGGGACCTGGGCACAGGCCTGGGTGGTGGTGACCACTGAGCCGTCACCTTCTGAGTCCACTGGCATCCTCCATGCTCAGCTGGTCAGGTCCTTTGGCAGAGCTGCAAAGACCTAACCCTGCAAATGTCCCAATGCACTTGGAGTATTCTGTTGCTTTCAGTTGGCAACATTTAATGTCCTCTATCTACTTCTCAAGGAGCAAACCAAAGTACTCCCTTCCTTCCCTTCCATGGGCTGAGATACCACTCTGGTGAGTCCACGGGCCACCAAGAGACAATTTAGACCCTCTTTAAATGACTCAAGGTTCTATGGGAGAGAGACATGGATAAACTTACAAAGAGCGCCACATAACATTAACCAGGTGACTCTACCTGGCTTCCATTAACACTAACTCCTGCATGGCCCCTCCTCCCTTCCTTTCCTCTATCATTACTCATTGGCTGACAGCTCCTTTTCTACCTGCCCTCTAGGAACCTGCTGGACATTCAGGAAGCAAGATGTAACTCCCAAATGGGCCAGGAGAGGCTAGCACAGGGGCTGCTTTGAATCTGTGATTACAGTTCATGCTTCATGGTTCCACTGCTCTGCTTCAGCCCACTGTGCAACGTGTAAGGCGCACATCTGCATAAATGACCGTCAGCAAGTGGATGGCAGTGGGGCAGCAATCGAATTTAGAGGTTAATATGTCATAGGACTGAGAGAAAAACAGAGTGTGAGAGTCTGAAATAAATCGGATTTTCTTGAGCAGAAGGCTACTCTGAAGCATTTCCAAAACTAAGTACATAAAAGAACTCCAAAGTTGGCCCTTGCCCGCCCATCCTTCACTGTGTTTCCACTCAGACACCTTTGTAAGTGCTTTATCCATTCCCAGTTTTGTTTTAACTGCTGGCTGGAAGGAAATCAGAAACCATTTTGGATCAAAACCACTGTAGTGGGTAACTGCCTAATGTGTGTCTTTCCCTTTGTGTTTCCGTCCAAAGCAACTGCGTTCTCTTTCATTTATGTGCAGCAAGAGACTCTTCTGCTGAATATAAAGCACTGCTAATCCTACAGTCTTCTGACCCCACAGCGTCTGCAAGGTCTTCTTCCTCAGAGTCGTCGTCGTCCTCGTCCTGTGCTGAGGAGCTGGAGGTGGGTCCTTTGCAGGTTTTCAAGTGGCGGGTAAGATGGTATTTGGTAAGATAAGCTTTCGTACATTTTTCACAGACATAATCCCGCTTTCCTTCATGAGAATTGAGGTGCTTCTTCAAGTGATTCGTTCTCAAGAACAGTTTATCACACTTGGGACACTTGATCTGGCGCTCTCTAGGAGAAACACAAGAAAAACTTGAGGTGGGATTGCAAATGGCGGCAGAGGCACACACTCACTCTGCATAGCCTTGGGCGCTAGTCAGAGACACACCATCTGTGAGAGTTTTTAAAGTAGATACACGGAATTCATAAAACACAAGCAGTTTCAACAGTAAAGACTTTTCACACTTAGAATTCTATCCTAATGGAACCACCCAATATATCTATTTCTTCATGAATATGAAGCTTTTCCTGCCCTTCAAATTACCAAGGAGTTTGGCTGTTCCCCCAGATCGGCTTAGGTATCCCTGTTGTATGGTAAATGGTTACCTAGCCATTTTTCTTCCATCTCTGAGTCTCTATCAGCCAGCACAATGCCAGACATCAGGAGGTTAAATTTTTAAATGTCAAATTAAAAAGACAAGCCAGGCACTGTGGCTCACACCTGTAATCCTAAGGATCCCAGTTCAAAGCCAGCCCAGGCAGGAAAGTCCGTGAGACACATCTCCAATAAACCACCAGAAAAACCAGAAACGGCACTGTGGCTCAAGTGGTAGAGTACTTGCCTTGAGCTGAAGAGCTGAGAGACAGCACCCAGGCCCAGAGTTCAGGCCCCAAAACAGATCCCCCCACCAAAAAATTAAGAAGACAATACCAGGTGCTGGTGGCTCATGCCTGTAAGCCTAGCTACTCAGGAAGGAGGCTGAGATCTGAGGATCATGGTTCCAAAAGCCAGTCTGGGCAGGAAAGTCTATAACGCTCATCTCTAATAAATTACAGAAAAAAAATGGAAATGGAATTGTGGCTTAAAGTGGTAGAGCACTAGCCTTGAGCACAAAAGTTCAGGGACAGCACTCATACCTGAGGTGAAGCCCCAGGACCAGCACCAAAAAATAAAAAGAACAAAAATACAGAAAGCATATGTGAAAAGTAAATATAGAAAACAGACCAGGGAGCTGGGCGTTGGTGGCTCACGCCTGTAATCCTAGCTACATAGGAGGCTGAAATCAGGATTGCGGTTCAAAGCCAGCACGGGCAGGAAAGTCTGTGAGACTCTTATCTCCAATAAACCACTAGAGAACCGAAGTGGCGCTGTGGCTCAAGTGGTAGAGCACTTGCCTTGAGCTGAAGAGCGCAGGGAGGGCCCAAGCCCAGAGTTCAAGCCCCACAACCGACCAAAAACAACAAAAAAAATACAACAAGGGAAATTTTCCTCTGGTTGGCTACGAACAGGAGACATGAACTGTACCATGAGCTGAAGTCTCAGCTGGCACCCAGATGCCAGGCCACCCACAGGCAGCTCACTACCCAAGAGCAACCTACTGCGTGTGGATGAGCACGTGCTGCTTGAGGTCCTGCCTCCGCATGAAGAGCTTGTCACAGTAATCACACTTGAGATTCTTCTCCCCGGTATGAATGACCATGTGTGACTCCAGATGCGCCTTCTGAGTGAAAGACTTGTCACATAAACTACACCTGTAGTTCTTCTGGCCTGCAAATTACCACATTAGCACCGCAAGTGAGAGAGCTGCTGGCGCGCTCAAGATAAACAGGCCTATGCAGGGTGTGCAGCAGAGGCGGGAAGAAAGCAGAGCTGATGGGTGTCTGGAACCCTACAGACACTTGAAGCCATTTCATTCATTCTGCAATCAAAGTGAAGTAATCCTGACCTCTATTGGGAGGTCTTATCTAAATATATACATGTATTTCTGTGCATGCACACACATTTTATACTTGACGTGATATAAAATATGGGTAAAAACATCATTTATAATCCCCAGGACCCCACCTAACACAAAGAAACTCATGAGTCCTAGCACTTTGTACATTCTAAGCTCCACATTATATATAAGCTATACATTCTGAACTTTTCCTTTTTTTTTTGTTGGTCATGAGGCTTGAACTCTGGGGGGCCTGGGCGCTGTCCCTCGGCTCTTCAGCTCCTGGCGAGCGCTCTACCACTTAAACCACAGCACCACTTCCAGTTTTCTAGTGGTTAATTGAAGATAAGAGTCTCACAGACTTTCCTTGCCCAAGCTGGTTTTGAACCGTGATCTTCAGATGTCAGCCTTCTGAGTAGTTAGGATTACAGGCGAGAGCTACCAGTGTCCGGCTTTTCCTCTTTAAATATGTAACCTCATAAACCTTAGATAAAGTCCTAAGAATACACAAGTATGAACTCCTCTAAGTCAAAAGTTAGTAAAGCTAACTTTTTTTTTTTTTTTTAGGGGGGGGGTCCAGTCGTGGACCTGAACTCTGGGCCTGGACGCTGTCCCTCAGCTCTTCAGCTCAAGGCTAGCACTCTACCACTTGAGCCACAGTACCACTTCTGGCTTTTTTCCTTTTGCTTATGTGGTGCTGACGAATGAAACCCAGGACCTTAAGCATGCAAGGCAAGCGCTCTACCACTGAGCCACCTTCCCAGCCCTAAAGCTAACTTTTTTGAGGCACGTTTTTCCTACAGGCTAGAGCGAGGTTTTAGGTTTGGGAGCCACACAAAAGGCTCTGTTGTAGCTGGGCACTGACGGCTCACAGCTGTAATCCTAGTTACTCAGGAGGCTGACATCTGAAGATCACTGTTTGAGGCCAACCTGTAAATGAAAGACTGCGAGACTTATCTCCAAATAACCACCGAAAAGCCAGAAGAGGAGCTGTGCCTCAAAGTGGCAGAGCACTAGCCTTAAGCACCAAAGCTCAGGGATAGTGTCTGGGGCCTAAGGTCAAGCCCCAGGACTGGCACTGGAAAAAAAAGTTTCTACTATAACTATAAGCCCAAGAAGAGGGGCTGGTTTACAAGGGATTTAGAAAATGGCAGCCAATGGGCTGGGAAGGTGGCTCAGTGGTAGAGCGCTTGCCTTGCATGCTCGAGGCCCTGGGTTCGATTCCTCAGCACCACATAAACAAAAAGAAAAACGCCGGAAGTGGTGCTGTGGCTCAAGTGGTAGAGAGCTAGCCTTGAGCTGAGTTCAGGCCCCACGACCGGACCCAAAAAAAAAAAAGAAAATGGCAGCCAAGAATCAAACAAGGCAGTGTCTGCTGAGTAATGTTCAAAAGGAAACTTGCTGGCTGGGCTCAGAGCTGAGCTTAAGAAGACCAGAATGCTACTTTATGTTCCAACACAGTGAGCAACTTTCCCATTCTGAATTACATATTCCCAGTTACTTCAAACTATGATGGGAATGCCTAGAAAGGAGAGCCCTCTAATAAGGTCCTAGCACTTGCTAGACGCCTCGCTCAGTTAACTACCCACCAAGGTCTGCCACCCAATGAGACACCCCCAACAGCCACCTGGGTTCTCTGATATAAGGCAAAACCTTTCGGAGTGCCATTTATTTTTATTATTACAATTATCTTTAGGTAGTGTATAAAGGAGTTGTGGAGTGCCATTTCTAACTGTGTAACCTTCACTCTCTGGGGGCCAGAGTATGTGCAGGGAGCTCACCTGTGTGTATCTTGAGGTGGGTCCGCAGGTTGCTTGGGTCACTGAAGGCCTTGCTACAGAAATCACACTTGTGGGGCTTCATTCCCATGTGGCCCATGATGTGCACATGGAGCTTGGAAGGAGAGATAAAAGCCTGCGGGCACATGGAGCACTTCCACTTCCGTTCTTTGCTGTGGCCTGGCCCATGGCTGTTGCTGTGGCCCTGACCAGGGAGATGATTATGGATGTGGCTGGTCAGGTGAGCTTTGAACTCTGAATAGGAACTGCACTCCTTGCCACAGTTACAGAGGTGCACATCAGGGTGTTCAGGAACACCTTTAAAATTAAAAAAAAAAAAAAATCCTGATACTGAAATGTCAAAACTTCCTTTATCAGCACTGGTACTGGGAACTGAATTCAGGCTCTTGCACTTGGCTAGACAGGTGCACTGTCACTTGAACCAGGCCGCCAGTTCCTTTTTCATGCTACTTTTGGGGTAGGGTCTTACTTTGCTCAGGCCAGCTTGGACTGTATGTACTTCAGCATGTCACTCGGATGGTAGGTGTGTGGCATTGTGCCCAACTTGGGCACAGCTTCTTGGTAGCTGGGACCAAGGGATAGGCATCGTAATACCTAACCACTGGTTGAGATGGGAGACCTGAGAACTTTTACAAACAGGCTGGCCTTGAACTAAAATCCCCAGATTCATGCTTTCCTAGAAGGCGGGAATATAAGCTTAAGCCTGGTTTCAAACACGTGTTTGACATTAATAACTGCTGCTTGCAATTCTCCCTGCTATGAAATTTTCCAACTTTCCCATTATCTGTAAAATTGAAATGTCATGTTCAAAGCTCTGTTCCCAGCATCCAAGAGTCTACCAGACACACAGAAAGCACCTGGTGAACACTGGATTATCAATCCTTTCCCAGGAAAAGTATTTACATTGGGTAGTGCAAACTCACTGTTACAAAGCACTTGTCAATATGACTAGAAAGAGAAAGCTAAGGCACATTAAATAAATCAAGGGTCTTTGCTGACTTCATGAACTTAAATTTCAACACTACAGGTACAAAATGGAGCCTTAGAAGCTTCAAAGCCCCCAAATCAAAGTCCTAAAAAAACCCAAAATCTCATTTCACTTGGATAAATATAATATACTTAGTTCATTACATTCATCTTGGGAAGAGACTTTAACGCCCTCCCCCCAACAGAATTAGTAACTTGATTTTATATACAAAGTAAGTTTGTAATTTATTTCAACTTCCTTGTAAATCACCAAAACTTCTCCCTGGTCCTTGCTGTTTTTACTATGTAGATTCATGACAAGTAAATCTTAACAAACTCACCCATCTGCTGAGCATAGTCCCGACTATAATAGAAGAGCAGCTCGTTTTCAGGTGGGATGTCTTGTGAGGTGCAGAAATAGATTTTTCCATCATGGGGATAAGCAACCAAATTCTGTTCTTCACGGTTCCTAAGTTATCAGACATAATAGACCAAGCATGTTAATTCTGTTTAAAAGACAGAATCTTACTACGTTGCCAAGGTTGGCCTCAAAACTCCTGGCTCAAGCTTTCCCAGGTAGTACCTAGACCGTGTACCACCACATCTGCCCAAGTATGATTTGTTCTTTTTTGTTGGCAGTGTTGGTGCTCAAAGCTTCCTTGCTCATGCTAGCCAAGCTTCTACTACTGCTCCTACACTAAGCTATGCCTCGGCCACTTCAGCCTAGTATTTTGGAATATATTAGAAGCATGTCATACACCTTATAATGAAATCTGTATGGAAGCTTAAGACAGAACTGTTTTCTCCAAACCAGTTCTGGAATCCCTATGCTCCTGCTGGGAGGGACTTGTAGAGAAACACAATTCTTATTTCTGTACAGTAGCTAGTTGCTCTTTGTACTAAGAAAAATCAGAGCCGGGCACTGGTGGCTCACACCTGCAATCCTAGCTACTCAGGAGGCTGAGATCTGAGAATCACAGTTCAAAGCCAGCCCGGGCAGGAAAGACCGTGAGACTCTTATCTCCAATAAACCACTAGAAAACCTGAAGTGGCATTGTGGCTCAAGCGGTAGGGCGCTCACCTTGAGCTGAAGAGTGCAAGGACAGCGCCCAAGCCCCAGAGTTCAAGCCCCACAACTGACAAAAAAAAGAAAAATCAGAGTCTGTTACTGGAAGTAAAGAGTATAAATAAAATAAAACCTTAAAAATATGACACAGAGGGGCTGAGAAGGTGGCTCAGTGGTAGAGTGCTTGCTTTGCATGCATGAGGCCCTGGGTTCGATTCCTCAGCACCCATAAGCAGAAAAAGCCAGAAGTGGTGCTGTGGCTCAAGTGGTAGAGTGCTAGCCTTGAGCTGAAGAGCTGAGGGACAGCGTCCAGGCCCAGAGTTCAAGCCCCACGACCGACAAAAAAAAAACCCAGGCTGGGGGCATGGGGGGGAGGAGTGTAGTTGTGAAGGTAGGAGGGAAAGGATGGAGGGGAAAAACAAAGGAGGAGGCAACAATGCTTGATAAGAAATGTACTCATTACCTTACTCATGTAACTGTAACCCCTCTGTACAGTATTTTCACAATGAAAAAATATTTTAAAAAAACAAACAGGATAGGATACTTTCCTCTATTCAAGTCTTTCCAAAAAAAAGAGGAGGGGAGAGTCTCCCAAGAAGTTTTCAACTTGATTTATTGTTATCACCACCAGACAACACAAATATTCCCTAAAAGCATGAATTTTAAGACATAACTGACCTTTAGATTAACTCCTAAGTTACAATACATCAAACTACAAGTGAAGACTTGGTAAAATTATATGGTTCCAAGATGCTTACCAACTTCTGCTCCCACAATTGACTGGCGTAGAACCAGCTGCTTTGGGAGCGAAAGTCGTGCTCTGCTCTCTATTGGAGTATCAGGAACAAAAGTCACTGGTCCGTGTTCAGGGCAGTCTGAGGGGTAGGCTCGGTCACAGAGAGTACACCCTGAGAACAGCAAGTATGAGACACACATGGGTAGAATTCACCAGGCTAAATTACTCCCAGGATTTTTAAAAATTTAAGTGCTAATTACAAAATGTAATCAGTAAGAAGCAAGGTTGTAACAGAGATACTCTGATCAAAGAACCATCTTTTTATACTAAAATGTATGTCTACTCTCATGTCTCTCCAGATTTCATTAAGATTTGATTTTCTTTTGGTTTGGGTTCAACAGAACAAGTTTTCTATTCAGCGCATAAAAGATTAATAAAAAATAAAACAAAAAGTACTGAAGATTTTTTTTTACAACTCCTAAATATAAACCAAAGAGAACTAAAAACAAAAAATTGTACATGAATGCTCAAAAAGCATTCACAGTAACCAAAAAGTGGAAGCAATTAAAATGTATATAAACTCCTAAATAAAATATAATTCATTTATGGACTATTATTCAGCTCTGAAAAAAAAACAAAGTACTGAGATATGCTTCATGCTACATTGATGAACTATTATAATATTATGCTAAAGCAAAATAGGCAGATAGTCTTTATCTCCCATTTCCTGCAAAGGGAGAAGAAAATGTCTCTTTTCCCTTTCTCCCTACTTCAACCTGGTTAGAGTAAATCCTTGCTAAAACCCTACTTGTAAGACTTTTAGTTTTGGAGGGGTACTGGGCCTGGGGCTTGACCTCAGAGCTTAGGCAGTCCCTAAGCTTTTGTGCTCAAGTCTACCACTTGAATCACAGCTCCACTTTCAGCTTTTTGGTGGACAATTGGAGCTGGCTTTGAACTGTGAACTTTAGATCTGATTCCTGAGTAGCTAGGATACAAGCATGATCCACTGGAGCCTGGCTGAGACCACCCCCCCACACACACACCTTTTTGTGAGATTCTCTGATATGCTTTTCATGAGTGTATCTCAAGGATGTGTGATTTTATGTAAAAGCTGAGAAGCTGAGGGAACCCCTCATTCATTCTCCAGTGTCAGAAATTGGATAGCCTGAACTAGAAGTTGAATCTCATGAGGTATGGAACGTGTTTAGCTTTGGTACTTCTCTGTCTAAATTTATTAGCCATAAAGAGTGAGAACTTTGTCTCTTCTCCCAGACTGGCCATGGGAGGGAGGAAAACAGAGGCAGAAATGGACAATGAGAAAGGGGATAGAAGAGTTGTTCTCTTGTTAGTCCTATAGGTACCCGGTGGTTTTTTCAGCCGTTCAAGTAACTCAGATAAGGCTGGGAAGGTGGCTCAGTGGTAGAGCGCTTGCCTTGCATGCATGAGGCCCTGGGTTCGATTCCTCAGCACCACATAAGCAAAAAGAAAAAAAAGCTAGAAGTGGCGCTGTGGCTCAAGTGATAGAGCGCTAGCCTTGAGCTGAAGAGCTGAGGGACAGCACCCAGGCCCAGAGTTCAGGCCCCGCGACCAGACCCAAGAAAAAAAAAAAAAAACAAGTAACTCAGATATGGTTGAAAGACTGAAAAGTCAATTAGTACTTTAAATGGCATAAGGCTAAGTACTACTAGAGTTACTTATGTCTCAATTCCCCTGGATTTGTTCCCATTTAAAGTTAACTTCTTAAGTTTGCTTAAACTCTCTTTACTAACAATTCTCCTCATTAGGTCTTGCTTTGGAGATGGGTCATTTTTCCCATCATGGATATGTCAGACCCAGGAAAAGAAACAGGCCACATCTAGGTGGCTGTAGGTACCTGCCTAAGCCAATTGGTTGCCTTTCAACAATCAAGGCCTGAGGCAGGTTACTTTGTGATCAGTCTGTGGTTAAAACTTCTTTTTTTTGGGTCAGGTCGTGGGGCCTGAACTCTGGGCCTGGGCCCTGTCCCTCAGCTCTTCTGCTCAAGGCTAGCACTCTACCACTTGAGCCACAACGTCACTTCCGGCTTTTTTCTTTTTGCTTATGTGGTGCTGAGGAATCGAACCCAGGGCCTCAGGCATGCAAGGCAAGTGCTCTACCACGGAGCCACCTTCCCAGCCCTGTGGTTAAAACTTCCAGGGCAAAGCATGGCACGGGTGGCTCAGATCTGTAATCCTAGTTATTCAGGAGGCTGAAATCTGAGGATCAAAGTTTATAGCTGGTGGACAACAAAGTCCATGAGACTCTTAGCGCCAATAAACTACCAAAACCAAACGTGGAATAGTGGCTCAAAGAGTAGAGCAAAAGCAGCTGAGGCACAGAGCAAAAGCCCAGGCTCTGAGTTCAAGCCCAGGACCAGGACACACACACACACACACACACGGATGCAGGCACACACACACACACGGATGCAGGCACACACACACACACACACGGATGCAGGCACACACGCACACACACACGGATGCAGGCACACACGCACACACACACACGGATGCAGGCACACGCACGGATGCAGGCACACACACGCACACACACACACACACCCCTACCCCTCTTCTATGGGTAAAAAAATAGTTATAACAAAATGGAGGCATAGGGCTGGGAAGGTGGCTCAGTGGTAGAGCGCTTGCCTTGCATGCATGAGGCCCTGGGTTTGATTCCTCAGCACCACATAAGCAAAAAGAAAAA